ATAACAAAATTGACCTTAAATTTCTATCAATAAAGCAAAATCTATACTAATGTAAATTATTCATATCTATATCATATCCCCCTTTAAATGTAAAAGGACGTTTATAAACCATATTTGGGAACATGGGCGCAGTTTTTTCTCTCCAAACTGCTTCCTGCTGAATGGGGGTGTCGTTAATTAGGTCTTTCATGGTATAACCTGTGTGCTAGTTTCATCTCAGTTGGCAGTTGAGCGAAGCAATTTTCTGAAGATGTTCACTGCAACCCTTCAGGAGGGCGTGGTCCATCATACCAAATCGGAATAGAAGAAATGAACAGCGTCTCATCCTCTGTGAAAACAAAATAAGAAACTCCTTTCCAAAGCATCATGTCCTTAGATCCAAATTTCAAAGTTAAGGCATCAAAATATCTATGTCGGATTAGTTCAGCAGCATTTATCAATAAATATCTTTTAGCAGCTGTTGCTTCTTCCTCAGCATTCAAACAATTCAAAGAGAGCATAATAGCATACAGTATCAAGATTCTCTGTGTATTTTCCATCTTTGTGCAGCTTTGTTTTAACCTCTATTTTGTTTATTTTTACTTTTAACTCTTTGCTTTTTGAGACAGGTTCTCTGTATCTTTGACCTGAAGTAACTCTGTAAACCAGGCTGTCTTTGAACTCTCAGAGATCCGCCTGTCTCTGCCTCCCAGGCATTCGGGATTAAAGGTGTACACTACTACACCTTGAACTCACAGAGATCTGTTTGTCTCTGCCTTCTAGGCACTGGGATTAAAGGCGTGTGCTACCACACACACAACTTTCTTCCTTTTTTTTTTGTTACTTTAAGAACTTTAAATTTTAGTCTGCATATATTTTTAACACACTTCAAACCATTTAGAAATTTTCTTTGTCTTTGAATCTCTCTTTACTATATATCTCTCTTTTTCTGACCACACGAGCCTTTAAATTACTGAGCAATATGGGTAGGATTAAAGACGTGGCTTTGCCAGCTAGATCCAGTCCATTCCTTAGCTTTCCAGCCTCATGGCTGAGGTACTGGCTGTAGCCAGCAAGCGAGCTTCAGCAGCCTGTGTTTGCAAACCGCAGGGACCGCCTGCGTAAAAGAGTCAGAGTTTGTCCTGGCAGGACAGCCCAGAAAGCCGGCATTTTTAAATGGCGCAGCTTTTTTCCTGCTATGGCTGAAAACCGAAAAGCATGCGTTCAGCTTTAACCGTTTAAGTGTTTCGTGGCAGGACCTCTTAATGAGCTGCAGGCTTTTGCAGCTAAAGCTGAGTCAGGAAGCCTCTCTTAGATGACACGCCGGCTTGCCTCTAGCAAGCAGAGCAGACCCGAGAACACAGCGAGTCAAGTTGCCATCAAACAAATCGTAGCACTTTACTCCAAATGCTCTATTCAAAAGCTCTGTCTCCCGCAGGAGCCAGACAGAGATCGCAATGGCGGCACAGCCCCAGGAAGTTGCGATTTAAAATGACAAAGTGGTTTTTCTGCTACTGTTGCTGAATCAGGAAATCTCTCTACAGCACGACACCAACAAACAGCAAAAATCTGTGTTAAACTCTCTCTCCCTTATTTTTAAGCCTTCTCAGGTTTTTTAAGTGGGTTTCGGCTGTCCACATGTCTGGGCGCCAACTGTAGTAATATGGGGCGGCAGGGCTGCGTCCCCCACACCCGGCCGCCCACATGGCTAGCTTATGCTCCGAAATAACAACACACAAACTGTATTCTTTTAATCACTGCTTGGCCCATTCTCTTCTAGGCTAATTCTCACATATTAATTTAGCCCATTCCTAATCATCTGTGTGTAGCACCCCAAGGTGCGCTTACCGGGGAGATTCTAGCCTAGTCCATCCTGGGTCCGAGCTTCATCCCGGGAGCAGGGCATGGCGTCTCTCTCAGGCGTCTGCTCCCGCGAGGAAAGCGGTCGAGTCTCTAGCTCTAGCTTCTTATTGGCTAGCTTTTACATCTTAATTTAACCCATTTCCATTATTCTATATTTTACCATGAGGCTTGTGGCCTACCAGCAAGGTTTCCACATTTCTGTCTCCAATGGTGGGTCCATGGCTTCTCCTGACTCTGCCTCCTTTCTCCCAGCATTCAGTTTAGTTTTCCCCTGCCTAGCTCAGTCCTACCCCATCACAGGCCCCAAAACAGCTTCATTATTAACCAATGGTAGTCACAGCATACAGAGGGGAATCCCACATCCAAAGCCTGTGTAGCTCTGAGGCTAAGAGAACAGGTGGCGTCCCAGCCTCTCTGAGTTCACTGCTTACCTAAGACTGCCATCTGGGGTGGTTTCCCTGAACACCCCAGACTCTCCGCTTCAGGATCTGAAGGACAGCAATTACCTAACAGGATCCTGGTGGGGATTAATGCAATCAGTGAGGGTCTGTCGTGGGACAAGTGCTGGGGTCACATCAGTAGGCAAAACCAAGTCCCTGCCCCCATGGTGTTTAACGAGGAAGGCAGACACTAATCCCATAAATATTTAATATAACAGATGGCGGTAAGTGTGATGGACTAGATAAGGCACCGGAGGGCAGATAGAATGTCAGTGTAGCAGGAGTTGTTTTGCTTAAAGATGGTCAAGGAAGGTCTCTCTGAGAAGATGGTGGCCAGGACAGGGAAGAGGAGTGGCACACACATGCAATCCAGGCCCCTGGGAAGCAATATGAGTTAGAGGCTCTATAGTGAGGCTCTGTCTCAAAAACAAAGACAGCAAACCCACATAGCCGGTTACTGCAGGGCCTCCTGCCTGTAGTCCTAGCGCTTGAGAGGCTGAGGCAGGGAGATTATCATGAGTTCATGATCAACTTGAGCTACATAGTTAGTTCCCCTGGCCACACCAGGGGCTCCACGTCAGCCTGGACTACAGAATGACACACTGTCTAAAAAACTCAACCAAGCCAAACCAAAAGTGACCTGTCTAAACCAAAATAAAGGGTTGAGCAGTTTAGAGCACTTACTGCTCTTGCAGGGGATCCAGGTTCTGTTACTAGCACATACATCGGATGGATTATAGTAGCCTGTAACTGCAGTTCCAGAGTATTTGGTGCCCCCTTCTGGCCATTGTGGGCACTGCACACACATGGTGCATATACAGATAAGCAGGCACACATTCACACGCACTAAGATTTTAAATAGATGGGTGGCGATGGAATATTAGTGAGAAGGTCTAAGGATCACAGTAAGGGCGACAGGAATAGGGTGACCATTTCCTGAGGTGGGAAAGCAGTTTATCTAAAATGCATAGCATAGGCTGGAATGGGAGCCACTTGGTAGAGAGCTTGCCTACCATACTTGAAATTCTGGGTTTGATTCCCAGCACTGAACAATTCTGGGTGGGCAGGGCAGGGTAGGTGGACTGAGAGCATCAAAGTTCAAGGTTGGCTACAGAGTGAACTTGAGGCTAGCCTTGAATATATGAGATCCTGCCTAAAACAAGATGAAATTTTAAAACATGATTAGATAAAAAACAAAACACTTAACATATATTTAAGTACAAGATAAGTGCTCAAAATATCACACATTTGATAAGTGTGGGGTGCGTGCATTTAACCCCAGCACTTGGGAGGCAGACGCAGATGGATTTTTGTGAGTTCTAGGGCAGCCTGGTCTACAGAGAGAGTTCCAGGACACTCAAGGCTACACAGGGAAACCCTGTCTCAAAACCAAACCAAACGATTATACAGTCTTTGTACTGACAGTTTTGTTTTTCTTGGCTGTCTAAATTTAGTCATCCAAGGTTTTGAAAATGAGGAGGAGACTATCTAATAGTCTCTGAACCCACGAGCCCCCTGCTCAGCCCCTGGATTTTTGGATTTCAGGGGTGAGCCACTACACCTAGCTTTGCCAATTCTTAATCTGAAGTATAAGGACTCTGGCGGGGGGGGGGGGTGTCTCCAGACATACTGTATAGTCATTTTCCTGTTAAACCGGGAATGCATTTTGAAATGTATTTTTTTTTATTTATTTGAGCAAGGTCCTATTGTGTAGCCCTAGCTAGCCTGAAGCTTGCTTTATAGACTAGGCTAGCCCAGAACTCCTCTGGTAGAGCAGGCTGGCCTTGATCTGGAGATCTGCCTGCCTCTGCCTCCCGAGCAACTGGGGTTTAAAGAATGTAACACTACACTTTGAGAATCTTTTACTTTATTTCTACGAGTGTTTCCCGAGTTGCGTACGGAGGCCAGAAGAGGGTGTTTTATTCCATCTGCATCTTCCACACAGCTGCTGGTATTACAGGTGTGCACCACCACACCTGGCAGCCGGTTTTTCTTCTTTAACTTTTATCTTTAAGAAGGCTTTTAGACAAATATAAGAAAGAAGAAGAAAGGAGAAATTTAAAAATTGTATAGACACTGGGCGTTGATGGTGCACACCATTAATGCCAGCAGTTGGAGGCAGAGATAGGCAAATCTCTGTGAGTTCAACGCCAGCCTGCCTGGTCTAGAGCGAGAGTTCTAGGATAGCCAAAGTTATCAAAGTTACCCTATCAAAGTTGTCAAAAAAAAAAGATTATATAGACAAAATCTAAAAGAAGTCGGTGGGATTTGAGAACGAGAATGACAGAAACGACCGGAGGCCAAACGCTGAGGATATGGAGTTGATATTAGAATCCAGATTTTCGGGCACCAATTCCAGGGTTCAGGATTCCTAGTTACAGGAGCTGTCCACTGACTTATTAAAACATGGATTCATACGTTCATTCATTAAATTGTATTAAGCACCTGCTAGGCACGATTCCAGGAAAGTAACTCTGAGAATGCAACGCTGGCAAAACCTAAGCATCACGGACTTTACACTCTGCATAGGGCGTTACAGAAGACGGTGATAACTGTCTTTAGGAGTGAGAGAGACAATGATGACGGTGTCGGGTGCCTTGGGAAAGGATTAGAAGACAGCGAGGAAAGAAAATGGTGTTTCCGACAATATATAAAGCCGCTCGAGTTCCGCAGGAGCTCTATTCAGCGAACACGTCCACCCAGGAGCAGACAGGAGGGAGGCGGGGCGCAGGTGCAGCGCGCATGCGCTCTCCCAGTCCGGCGGTTGGGATCAGGAAACCGGAGTGCGCAGGAGGGCAGAAGTGCGCAGGTACCGCAGTTCCTCGCCGGCGTCGGGAAGGCGTTGCCCAATGGAGACTTTGTTTGCCGACTCTGTCCGAGCCCCTTCGCCCTTCCCCACTTCCGCTTCCGGCGCGCCGCTGTAGTTCCAAGATGGTGTCGTCGGTGTTCGGGTCTCGGGTGTCGGGGCTGCTGGGCCGGGCCCTCCCACGGGTGGGGCGGCCCATGTCGAGTGGCGCCCATGGCGAGGAGGGTTCAGGTACAGGGGCTCGGGTGGGGGTGGGGCCTCCACGGCTCTCGGGCGACGTGGCGGAGCCGTGACCTTGGCGGGAGGCCTTGCGGGAGGGAAAGGCCGAGGCTGACGTTGTGGCCCCGCCGCAGCTCGCATGTGGAAGGCCCTCACCTACTTCGTGGCGCTGCCCGGGGTGGGAGTGAGCATGCTCAACGTCTTCCTGAAGTCGCAGCACGGAGAGCACGAGAGACCCGAGTTCGTCGCCTACCCTCATCTCCGCATCAGGACCAAGGTACGCACGCCCTGCGCCTTTGCCGCCCTTCAAGCGGCCGTTATCTCATTGCCCACTCCCCAGCCCAAGCTCTTGGGGTTCTGGGATCTTGGCTACCAGTCTGTCTGCGCAAACAGAACATTTTATTCTTGTTTTGCTTAAGGGAAGCCAACTGTGGGTTACGTCTCAGTTTTCTTAAAGGTCACACAGTAAATGCCTCTAGGTTTTCATTTTCCTCGATTTATGGCATCTCTCATCTTCTGGTGCAGTTTAGAAGCAGCCGTTTCTTGCATGAAAGCGTGGAGGTTTGAGGTGTCCGTTTATAATAAAGTGGCAAGCGCTGAAGGGGATTGGAGATTCGGCGTTTGGCATGCCGGGTGATGCTAGGTGCTTCGCGACCCGACTGCCGGTTTGTCTCTCACAGTGCCTGTCATTATCTTGGCTGTTCGTATAGACAGTTCAGTAATCTGCCCTCCGTCACTGGATGTAACAAGGGTGTCGTCTTGTTCCCTAAGAACCGTGTCACCCTATTCACATGAGACTAGCCTCGCAGAAACTGATTCTAGAGTTGGATTTTAGAACCTGAGCCTCGATCCCACTCTCGCACAGCCTCAGCATGGGGAGGCAGAGCAGGTGGATCTCCTGATTTCGAGGCCAGTCTGATCTACCTCGTGAGCTCAGGGCAGCCGGAGCTATTTAGTGAGATTTTGGTGGGGGCGGGAGATCTGACAGCATCCTGCCTTGGCCTCTGCCACTAGATGGCAGTACTACCCCGTCTCCGTATCCTGCCCCCTTGAGCCGGGGTGGTAGCTCAGTCTGTAATCCCGTCCGTGGGAGGTGTCGGTAGCTCATGGCCATTCTCTGCTACATTGTAAAATGAGATTTAGTTTGGGCTAACTAGGACTGTTTCAAAAAACCAAAAAATTGTGAACCACTGACCTAGAGCATTGCTTTTCAGACATAATGGGACAGGGCTGGAGAGATGACTCGGTGGTAATTAAAAGTGGCTTTAATCCCAGCACTTGGGAGGCAGAAGTAGGTAGAGCTCTGCTCTACAAGCAACTTCTAGGACAGCTAGGGCCACATGAGAAACCTTGTCTAAAAAAAAAAATTTATGAGCCGGGCGGTGGTGGCGCACCCCTTTAATCCCAGCACTCGGGAGGCAGAGGCAGGCGGATCTCTGTGAGTTCGAGACCAGCCTGGTCTAGAGAGCTAGTTCCAGGACAGGCTCCAAAGCCACAGAGAAACCCTGTCTCGAAAAACCAAAAAAAAAAAAAAAAAAAAAAATTTATGATAGGTAGAATCATACATGCTGATAATCACAGCACTCAGTAGGCAGAGGCAGGAGGATCATGGTGGTTTTTTTGGCCAGCCTGTTCTATATAGAGTTCCAGGTTGGGTACATAAGGAAACCCTGGGTTTTTGTTTGAAGTTGGCTCAAACAAGGATGGCTCAGCAGGTAAAGGCTACCAAGCTTAAGCACACGAGTTCAGTCCTGGGACCCACTCTGTAGAAGGCGAGATCTACGCCTGCAAGTCGCCTTCTGACAATGGCCTTCATACACAAAACAAATAAATTGGTTTTTAAAAGAAAGTAGTAGGTTAGCTGGATGTGGTGGTGCACTCCTTTAATCCCAGCACTCGGAAGGCAGAGGCAGGCGGAGCTCTGTGAGGTCGAGGCCTGCCTGGTCTACAAAAGAGAGTGCCAGGACAGCTAGGGCTGTTAAACAGAGAAACTGTCTCAAAAAAAAAGAAAAAAAGAAAAAAAAGATTTCTTTATTTTAAATTATGTGTGAGTGCATGTGGAGGCCCAGGGAAGCAGAGAGTGCTTCAGGTCCCCTGGGACTAGAGCACAGACAGTTACTAGCTGCCTAATGTGGATGCTGGGAACCAAGCTTGGGTGCTGTAAAAGCGTAGCACAGTACACGCTGCTGAGCCATCTCTCCTTCACCGAGTAGCTGTCTTGAGCTTGCTTTTCTTACCATCTACTTCAGGGGCCTCCCTCCCAGTTGTTCATTAGAACACACTAGTAATAATTGTGGGATAGTTAGGGGCTGGAGAGATAGCTCAGGTTAAGAGCACTGGCTGCTCCTTCAGAGGTCCTGAACTCAGTTCCCAGCGACCACACGGCAGCTCACAACAATCTATATTCTGATTCTCTCTTCTGTGTGCATGAAGACAGAGCATTCATACATAAATAAATAAAGTTTAAAGGGGAAAAGCTATGGGAAATTGAAACTATGCCAGTAAAGGGCAGATTTTAATTTTGATTTTATGTATCATCTGTTTCGTGGCCTAGTTATTTATAAGCATTTTCTGGAATTATCTAATTGACGTCTTCACTCCACAGCCCTTCCCCTGGGGAGATGGTAACCATACCCTCTTCCACAACCCTCATGTGAACCCACTTCCAACTGGCTATGAAGATGAGTAAAGAGAACCTGGACCTTCCCCCAGGCAGCAAGGGACCACAGCACTGGTTTGGACCATTACTTTGTGGACCATGAAAGCGCATGGGGCGCTAAGCTCATCTTTCCTTGTATCCTACAGTGACCATTACACTGATCTTCCATCCCTTTGCTTACAAGAGGAGATGGCCTAAATAAATAACTTAAAGTTACCTTGTTCATGAGCTGAATGTTGCAGTCTTGGTTTATTCCCAGAAATCGACACTACTTTGCTATTTTATAGTGCTTCAGATCTAGTTTAGCCTACCGAATACTGTTTAAAATAGGTTCTGTGTTGGTTTCTTGTGCTTAGGGTGGGTAAAGCCAAGAGCACAGAGCAGCTACCTATTGGGATGGGCTCTGCGACAGACACTGATGATCAATAGAATGGCTGCTGCTTACCACCTATAACAGGTGCCTGTGACAACTTAAAAGACTCTGTGGGCAAAATAGCACGTTCCAGGTCAGCTCAGGCTGTACAGCCCAATAAAGTGCTTGTGCTCATGCAAGCTCTCCTGGGTCTTAGTGTCCTCCTGTTCAAGTCTACCAAAGGAGTCAAGTTCCTACCTTCGAGTAAAGATTCTTTTCTCAGTCAGGCATGGTGGAACACACACATTTAATCCCAGCATTCAGGAGACAGAGGCAGGTGGATCTCTCTGAGTTCCAAGACAGCCTGATCTACAGAATGAGTTCCGGGACAGCTACACAGAGAACCCTGTGTGTGTGTGTGTGGGGGGGGGGGGGGACAGCAGTAGCAGTAGTTACAAAATGACTCTGACATAGCCATTAATTGCTCGTCAAAAGTGAAGACCTTTAAAACAGCTGGAGTCATTTTCTGGAGAAGATGAAGTCAGGTAGGGTGGATAATCTATTTTCTTAGTTCAAGATGCTCCTGTTAGGTTGTGGTATAAAGCAAGGAAGCTATTAGTAGCTGCCCTTTTTAAGGCAGGGTCTTGTTATGTTGCCTAGGAGCAGTCTTGAACTCCTAGACTTTCTAGCCTTTCCATCATAAGTAGCTAGATTAAGGCATGCACCACCATGCTGTTATTTCAAGGATTCTGTTTTGTTTCTCTGTGTAGCCATGGCCCTTCTCTCCTGGAACTACTCTGCTGACCAAGCTGGCCTCACACTTGCCGACATCCACCTGCCTCTGCCTCTTGAGTGATGGGATTAAAGGTGTGTTACCACCACCGCCCGGCCTATCTCAAAGTTTCTTAAGCCTATTGTAAAAGTTAAGGAATTTGGGGGCTGGAGAGATGGCTCGGCGGTTGGGAGCGTTGCCTGCTCTTCCGAGGGTCCTGAGTTCAATTCCCAGCGACCACATGGTAGTTCACGGCCATCTGTAGTGAGGTCTGGTGCCCTCTTTTGGCCTTCAGGCATACACGCAGAAAGAATATTGTATACATAATAAATAAATAAGTTTAAAAAAAAAAGTTAAGGAATTTGAAGATGAAAATGATCACCATCGCACCCCTCAAAAAATAACAAGAAAGATTCTAAAAGGCCATGGTGGTGCATGCTTATAACCTCTAGGACTTCGGGAAGAGGAGTTTGATGCCCAAGGACTGCCATAGCTCAAAGCTAGCCAAGCTGCAGTCCAAGACTCGTCTTAAGAGGAAAAACTAAACAAAAACTAGTGAGACGGTTCAGCAGTAGAGGTCTCGCCAAGTCTGACGACTAAGTTCCATCCCAGGACCCATGCACTGGGAGGAGGGAACTGACTCCTATATTGGCCTACATCCACATGCATACATGAGTCAACTATAAAACAATGCTGCCCCAGTGTGGTTGTTGGAAGAGAATAGTCCCATGGACTCATATGCTTAAATCCTTGGTTCCCAGTTGGTTGAAACTGGAAAGGAACAGAGGGCATGGTCTTAGGGAGGTGTGTCACTGGGGACAGGCAGGCTCTGAGGTTTCAAAAACCCACTCCATTCCCAGTTAGCTTTCTACCTTCTGCCTGTGGATCAGGATCTAAGTTCTCAGTTTCTACTCCAGCTTCATGCCTGCCTGTCTGCTGCCATGCTTCCTGACATGACGATTATGGACTTAAATTGTCTGGAACTAGGGTTGGAGAGGTGGCTCAGAGGTTAAGAGCATTGACTGTTCTTCCAGCGGTCCTGAGTTCAAGTCCCAGGACACATGGTGGCTCACATACAACCATCTGTAATGGGCTCTGGTGCCCTCTTCTGGCATGCAGCAGATCATTATATACATAATAAATAAATCTTATAAGTCAAAAATCCCTCTGGAACTAATGTGGCATCTATTCACAGCAGTAGAAAGGTAGCCAGCCCAGGCACCAATGTGGTCCACACCTGTAATCCCTATGCTTGGGAGATGGAGGAAGGAGGAAGTTCATCTACTTGGCAAGTTTGAAACCAGCCCGGACTACAGGAAACCTTGCCTTAAAGAAACAAAAGGGGGGGAGGGGGGCTGGAGAGATGGCTCAGTGGTTAAGAGCATTGCCTGCTCTTCCAGAGGTCCTGAGTTCAATTCCCGGCAACCACATGGTGGCTCACAACCATCTGTAATGAGGTCTGGTGCCCTCTTCTGGCCAGCAGACATACACAGACAGAATATTGTATGCATAATAAATAAATAAATATTAAAAAAAAGAAAGAAACAAAAGGGGTGCGTGTGTGCTGGAGAGTGGTGAAGAGTGTTTGTTGTTCTTGCAAAGGACCTGGGTTCAATTCTCAGCACACATAATGGTTCACAACCAATAAGCACATACATGCATATGAAACAAAGTATTCATTCACACATAGAAAGTAAATAGGGGGAAAACAAAAAAATGGCCTGGGGATGTAGCTCAGTTGATAAATACTTGCTTGCATGAAGTCTTGGGTTTGACTCCCACACTAAAATCAAATGTGATTTTAACTAAATCCCAGTATGTGGCAGGAGGCTCAGGAGTTCAAGGTCATACCCAATTATCCACTGAATTCAAGGCCAGCCTGGACTACGGGAACCACTCGTGTGTCAAGGAAGAAACAAAAGGCTCAGCTGGTAAAGCCAAGACATGGCCTGAGCTGGATTCCCAGGACCCACATGGTAGAGAGAACTGACTATCCATGTACACTTGCACACACAAAATGCAATAGAAATACAGGGGAAAAAATGTCTTTTAAAAGGTTTGTAAATCAGAGCCGGGCCTTGGTGGCGCACACCTTTAATCCCAGCACTTGGGAGGCAGAGGCAGGCGATCTCTGTGATTTCGAGGCCAGCCTAGTCTACAGAGCTAGTTCCAGGACAGGCTCCAAAGCTACAGAGAAACCCTGTCTCGAAAAACCAAAAAAAAAAAAAAAAAAAAAAAAAAAAAAGTTTGTAAATCAGAGCTGGAGAGATGACTCAGGTTAAGAGCACTGGCTACTCTGGAGGACCCAGGTTCAATTCCCAGCACCCATATGGCAGCTCACAACTCCAGTTCCAAGGGATCTGACAATGAAAGCAAAACACCAATGTATATAAAACAAAAATAAATAATATTTTAAAAAATTTTAAATCTGGATGTGGTGGAATACACTTGAAATTCCAGCACTCAAGAGGTAGAGGAAGGAGGAAGGATTATCAAGTTTGAGGTCAGCCTGGAATACATGAGACTGCCCCCCACTCCAAAAACAATCTGTTCTCTTTGCCATCGACTGGCTGCACGAGTCCTTACAGCACTATTGTGCAGTTTGAGTTCAGACTACATGTACTACTCTTCAGCCTCCTTGTTTCCCTCATACAGGCCTCAAAAATCTGTGATCTTTTACATCCGTATCTTTCTAAAAACGTAAAATGTCTGAAATGGCATTAGGGTTGATCAAATTAAAGTGGAGTAATAATTAGTAACACAAAACAGATGTCAGCCCTCTAAATCAGCTTTCATTCTGTATATTAGGGATATACTAAATTCTAAATATAGGGAAGTGTGAGGACTACATGACATTGTTTTGGAACCACAATACATACTAATTTAAAGAAGCTATTATATAAGGTGGGTATTACAGTGCATATGTGTAATCTCAGCAAGCTGAAGACAGGCAAGAGGCCGGGCTGAATGTCAGATTCCTGACCCACGTGCTGCATTAGCCACCTAGGCTTAAACAAATCATCAAGTTAAGAAGCAGAGCTTGCCCTCTGCAAAATAATGAGATACATGGGGCAACGGGGTGGTAAGTGTTCTAAAAAGTACACAGTCTCAGGGGCAATGAGTTAAATCTGAATTTTAGAATTTATTCCATTTTCATGATTACAGACTTAGGGTACGGTAGGCAAACAAGTAAGCACCTTTCCCCCACTTAGCCAGATGCCTTTTATATGATGTGCAGACTGACATTAATCATGGAGCTGAAAGTTGGTCATAGCAAAGCTGCAATGTAGGTGATTCTTCCACAGCCACTCCAGGTGCCGGAGCTATGAGCGGCACTGTGAGCTCCAAAATGATGTTTACGTCATTTCTGAAGCTTTCACTTGTTGTTCTGACACCTCATTAAGGCAGGAGCTGAGTAAAGCTGTCTCCTACTTCGCTAACCCAGGCCGCCAGCAGCAGGGACTGAAGCTGTTGTGTCTGGATCCCTTTCAGAGCAGTAGCTCCCGAGAGGGAAAGGCAGTCCCGACCAACTGTGCTCACGAACAGTGACTCCCAGGTAGTCCTTCTGCAGCAAAGCTGTCGGGCAACCTTGATCGTGACCAGTTTATCATTATTTACATTCAAGATTAGTTAAAGCTGATTCCAAACCATTTATTGTAACCAAAACCCCAAGAAGCTGTTTCATTGTAGCACACGGAAATCCTGCAAGATGCCAGCAAAAGTGAGATTGTCTCAAAGCAAAAGTGAGAGCTGCTCTTTAAGAAGTGAGAGGGGAATACTAAGAAGAAGAAACAAAATCTCCTCTTAAACTCCTCGAATCCCATGGCTGGCTTCACTGCCTTAGCTGACAAAATCCAGAGGCCTCTCAATTTACCGACATCTTCCAAGTGACAGGCAGGTCAAGAGGAGTTTTCAGGCTTTTCTTTGCCATGGCCCATGAACTCCAGTCCTTCTATAGGAATCTCTTTCTCCTTTATTGCTTTCTGATAGAAAAAGAAAATGAATTAGAGAAGTCTATGAAAGCTTGAAGTCAATGTTTTGTAGCTGCAGTGTAATGGCACCAAAGTGAACTAGAAAGACTTGAAATGGGAGTTGGAGAGATGGCTCAGAGGTTAAGAGCACTGACCGCTCTTCCAGAGGTTCAATTCCCAGCAACCACATGGTGGCTCACAGACATCTGTAACGACATTTGGTGCCCTCTTCTGGCCAGCAAGCATACAGACAGACAGAACACTGTATACATAATAAATAAATAAATCTTGTAAAACCCACAATTTAAGGGGCACTCTTCTCTTTCAGACATGGCATCAGTGTGTAGCCCTGGCTAGCCTCGGATTCACACTCCTGGGTAAAGGTGTGGACCACCACACCCAGTAATCTCAACAAAGTACCAACGTAAAGAGGGCAGGGCCTGTGTGGTCTGCACACTTGCTCTTGGGAGGCAGAGGCAGGAAGTGCCACTGCTTTGTCTTAGCGACAGCGTTCAAATCTATTCCAGCAGGTATGTGACTCTGAGTCACCTTCACTGACTGGGAATCGGCTAAGAATCGTTCCTGAAATTGGGAGGATGTTTTAGGTTAGGTTAGGTTAGGTTAGTGAAAGTGCTCCTACTGGTCTGAAATCAAACCTTACCAGCTGCAACTGGGAACTGGTAGAGAAAAATAGGGCAACAAAGAGATCATAACAAAACAACGCAACCGTCTAGAAAACAGTAAACATCATCCACTCATAAAAACAATGAAATATTGCGCTCCCAAAAAAATAATCATGGTCACCAGACGCTAGTACATTTGAACCAGTTACTACTTTTGTATGCTAGTTTTCCATCTGTAAAACACAGCGGCCAAGCCTGGGAACCCGAACTCGATCCCCAGAGCCCTTATAAATGTGGAAGGAGAAAACTGACTCCGATAAGTTGTCCTTACCCTGATCGCGCACGCAGACACACACATTTTTAAGATACAGATAACTACGGCTACTTTGCAAGTTCAGAATGAGCACCAAATAAATGAACCAGAAGATGCTACTGTACTCCGTAGAAAGCAAAGCACCGCAAAAACATCCCCGTGTGTCAAATGGAGAGATACCCAGGCAACATCGGTGGGATGACTGCAGCAGCGTCTGCGGCGAGACTCACCTGGACACACTGTTGGTAGCGTTTGAATAGGTCGGTGCACGGGTCCCCGGAGCCGTCCCCTTTGAGGAACTTCTCGGCAAACCAGCGATTGAAGCACTGATCGTATTCGCGCTTCATATCAGTACAAGCCTCTCCGACGCTGTTCATGGCGATGGCAGCGGCTGCGACGGCGACCGCGGCGCACTCTAATGTCGTCAGTATCGTGCGCGTCGCTCCGCCTCTCGTCACTACGGCGGTCGAGAAGCAAAGAAATGTGGGCACGGGCGGTGTGGGTACGTTTTCGGGCTGCACCGGATCGGGGCCGAGGCTTTGCTTCCAAAGCGGGCCCACAGGGAAAGGTCCAGGCGGCGGGGCAGGGGACCGGCACTCCATCCCTCGCCCCGCAGGGCAGTGGCCGCGTGCCCGCCGAGAAAATAGAGCATCTGGAGCGTCTGGCGCTGGTAAACTTCGGCAACCGCGAGGCGGTGGCCCGGTTGGAGAAAGCCATCGCCTTCGCTGAGCAGCTGCACGCCGTGGACACAGACGGGGTGGAGCCCCTGGAGTCAGTACTGGAGAACAGGTAAACTCCCGTTTGCGGCCTAGAGGTCTTCCAGGGAACCCAGGGGACCTTCCAGGCTGTTTCAGGTCCTTTCAGTGTCCTTTGCATGATTGGGAATTTGCCCAGTCACGGTAAGGACGTCTTCTCCCTTCCCCTAGTTCATTATGAATCATGTTATTCCCGGTTAGAATCCTCTAGCCTTCCTAGTCTCGATGTAAATAGAAACAAAATCCGAGCTGCTTGTTAGACATCGTCTTCGAATCCCTGCTCCTTGGAGCCCCTGCTTATCCACTCGGATGTACTGTTCCCTCAGTACCCTCCAGCTTGTGTTGGCTTCCATAACTTTTTCTCAGCAAGCTAAGGTCATTCCCGCTAAAGTGTTTGCACTTGTCGACCTGCGCATCAGATTAAATATCTGAAAGAATTAAATACTATTATATATTTTGGAGACCTTCTCCAGTCAGTTTATATACTAATATGGCATATCCAAATAACATATAAGCTGTGTCATCTATATTTGAAACAAGAGTCTGGCTATACAGGCACGGGCTAGCTTTAAACCCAAGGTTGGCTGCCTCCTTAACACTACTGTCTGTAGGTCTGTATCATTATTTACTTCTTTTGAGACAGGGTTTCATATAAACCAGGCAAGGTAAGAATGACCTTGAATCCTCGGCAGACCTCCATCTTCCAAGTGCTGAGCAACCATTGTGCTTACATATCCCAGGCTGGCCTTAAACATGCGACAGTCCTTGCCCGGTTTCTCAAATTCTGGGCTTATAAATGTGAGTTAGTTACCATTCTTGGCTTGAAAGTGTTTTTTTTTCTTTTTTTTTCTAATCTGTGTGTATGAATGTTTGGGCTTCTTTTTTTTTAATATTTATTTATTTATTATGTATAGGATATTCTGTGTATATGCCTACAGGCCAGAAGAGGGCACCAGACCTCATTACAAATGGTTGTGAGCCACCATGTGGTTGCTGGGAATTGAACTCAGGACCTCTGGAATAGCAGGCAATGCTCTTAACCACTGAGCCATCTCTCCAGCCCTGTTTGGGCTTCTTGTACGCTGTATGCCACATATCTGGTGCAGAACAGGGCGTGGGAGTCACTGGAACTAGAGTTACAGATGATTGTAAGCCACCATGTGGGTATTGGGAATCAAATCTGGCTGACCTGGAAGACTGACCAGTGCTAACCACTGGGGCCATTTTTCTAGTCCCCTTAGTGACAACAGAGAGCCAAATCTGGAACCATGATCTTTATGTGAAGTGCTTCTGCAAAATTTGAACCTTGTTAGTCTCCTGTTCTTCTTACCTTCCAGTCTGTGGTTCCTTCAAGTCTTTGATCTGAAGCTCAGGTCCATTTGCCTGGTGCTCCCCAGCACTTCACAACAGAAGTCGTTTCCATTCCAAGCCCTTCAGATGTGCCACTGCTTCTAATGGAGCCAAAAGAGAGTTTCTTCATGGCCCATTTCTCCAGGCCAGCACTGTCATGTTCTTTCAGCTTCTTAAGTTCTCTCTTCTGTTACTTTTCCCTCACAATTCTCAGCTCTTGCTCTAACTGCTTTTTATCTCACCTGCTTTTCTCTTAATTATTTTCCTTTCTTCTTAAGTTGTCAACTGCCATTAAATGTCCATTCCTTTATAGTTACATTCTTTACGGTTCTAGTGGTATTCAAAGGAGTTATTAATCACAATATATCTACTTGAATCTCATTTCTCTGCTTAGATCGGTGGTTCTCAACCTTACTAATGCCACGACCCTTTAATACAGTTCCTCATGTTGTGGTGACCCCCCCCCCAACCATAACATTTTCATTACTATTTTTTGTAGCTGCAATTTTGCTGCATAAACATCTGATATTTGACCTGTAGGGGCTGTGGCCCACAGGTTGAGAGCCACTGGCCTAGCTGCTGAGGAAAGACACTGGTAATAGAAGTGAATGTCTTGGAGCATTAAAACTCACTCATCTTGTAGACTCCTGGTGCAGGAAGACAGGTGCGGTAGATACTTAGTAAACAGTTGGCCTGAAACTGGTCATAGTGACTTACATCTGTAATCATAGGGCTTGGGATGCTCAGGCAGAGCTAACACAAGTTTGATTTCAGCCTGTGATATTGAAGGAGACCCTGCTTCTAAAAAACAGACAAATAGAGGCCAAGAGTTGGCTGAACAGTTAAGACTATCTGCTGCTGCTCCTGCAAAGGACCCAAGCTGAGTCCCAGCACCCATGCCAAGTGGCTTATAGCCACGCATAACTCCAGCTCCAAGGCCTCTGAAGGTACTGGCACTCACATACACAGACCCCTCACATATGCATAATTAAAGATATTTTTTAAAAACTTCTAAACAAATAAACAATGCCCCCAGAGCCAGTAAGAATGAAGTCCTTGGTTGATTCCTCACCACTACCAAAATCAAACAAAATCAAACTTTTCCTCAAAGTCATCCAGGCCTGTTAAATGCGGGCCCACTGCTGTCATGTCCGTCCGTGTCATAGCACATGTGTGGAGGGGAGTTGGTTTCTTCCATTTGGGTCCATGGGGTCAAAGAGCACTTTTACCTGAGCCGTTTTCACTACCCCCCCCACCTTTTTTTTTCTTTTCTTTTTGTTTGTTGGTGTTTTTGTTGTTGTTGTTGTTGTTTGTTTTTCTGAGACAGGGTTTCTCTGTGTAGTCTGGCCATCCTGGAACTAGCTTCGTGGACCAGGCTGGCCTCAAACTCAGAGATCCGCTTGTCTCTATCCCCCAGGAGCTGGAATTAAAGGAGTGTGCCGTCACTGCCACCACCAGGTGTCCTTTAGTTAAGAGTGTTAATTGTTCATGCAGAGAACCTGAGTTCAGTTTGCAGCACTCAAACCAGGCAGCTGAAAACTGCATCTAACTCCAGGGATCCGATGCTTCTGGTTTTCATGGGCACCTGTACTTGTGCACACACACACACATACATAATAAAATAAACCTTTACATTACATATGCTGTTTCCAGCAATTTTACAAAGCCTTTTTCTTTACTTCTGTAAAGGAAGGAAGCTAAAACAGGGATAAGTACCTCATGGCATTGAGACTTAGGATCTACTGTGTTCTTAGACAGTCTCCAACAGAGTCCTAGCCCAGAAAGACCAGTGACTGCCTTTCAATGGTACAGCTGCAATGTGTTTTTTTTTTCCCCCTACCTTCTGTGCTAGATATTGAATTTAGGGCCTCACACATACAAAGCTATCATTATACCACTGACATACAGCCCCAACACCCATTTTTTTTTCCTAAAAAAACAAATCCCAGCACTTGGGAAGCAGAGGCAGGCAGATCTGAGTTATATAGATTTACTCACTGTGTAGACCAGGCTACTCTACACAGCAATGTCCAGGACAGCTAAGACTACACAGAGAAACTGTCTAAAAAACACACAAGCCAGGTGGTGGTCACACACACCTGTGATTCCAGCACTTGAGAGGCAGGGGCAGGTGGATCTCTCTGAGTTCAAGGCCAGCCTGGTCTACCAAGCAAGTTCCAGGTCTGCCAGGGCTGTTATTTAGAGAAACCCTGTCTCAAAAAAACAAAATAACCAAAATAGAGTTAGCTGTCTCATGCTTTTATTTCCAGCACTCACGAGGCTAGTGTAGGAAGATCTCTCTGAATTTGAGGCCAGCCTAATCTACTTAATCAGTTCCAGCTAGCCAGGACTGCATGATGAGGCCCTGTGTCAAACAAAGACAAAGGCCATGGAAGTGCAACCTTCACTTTTTGAAAAGAAACTAAGGCCATAGTTAACATAATACTTCGGGCTTCTGGGGTGAGGTGGGGTATTATAGTAACATTCATTCAGGAGGCAGAGGCAGAAGGATGAAGAGTTTTGAGGCCAGCCTAGAATACATAGTGTGGGAAAACCACCATCAGCCAGACAAGTGTGGATCCTCGAGCCAATTCCAACCCTCCATTCTCTTAACGTGAATGACAATGTCTCATTTTATGTTGGTGCTTCTCCTAGGGTTAACTCCTCTTTGCCAATGATTTCAGATTCCTTTTTATTGTTATGAGACAGGGTTTCTCGGGTAGCTGTCCCGAATGTGTTCTGTAGACCAGGCTGACCTTGAACTCAGAGGTCCGCCAGTCTCTCCTCCCAGGTTAAGGGTATTAGAGACTCCCTCACTTTTAATGAGTATCTAGAAACAGGTTGGCTCTTGTAAGGCACTTTGTTTTGAAATCATTGTGAAACTGCTTGATTGTATTGCTGTTTAGTTTCACTGGTTTGTAATGCAGATATTTTACTTGATTTTTGAGACAGAATCTTAGTGTGTAGCCCTGGCTGACCTTAGACTTAGTATGTAGACTGGCCTCAAACTCACATCTGTGTCTGCCCCCTGAATGCTGTAATTAAAGCAGTGTACCACTGTATGTGTATAATACAAGTAGAGGACAGAGGACAACCTATGGGAGTCCAGGAGTCCATTCTCTTTCCAGCTAGGTGGCAAGTGCTTTGACCCACTAAGCAGTCTGCATACTTTAGAGGCACTATATGCACATATTTTAGAGAAGCCGCTATGTCTAGAGAACAAGAGATTCATAATCTGTGATATATCTTAGAGACAAAGCCTGTGTAGGCACTAGCCTTAAACTACTTAAGTGCAAGGATTATTGGCATGTGCCACCCAATGTGACTGTTCAGTGCATCTCACTTAGTGACAGGCATCTCTGTAGGTGGCTGTAGTTCAGAAAAAGAAAAGCATTCACCTCAGGGGTATTGCTAACTTACTGCCCGTCTGAATCAGCTGTGTTTTCTTGTATGAGATTCATGCTGCATCTGGTGAGTCTCTGGCAGTGACATCATTGATTCTTGAGTACATGCTTCTCACTGGAGCAGGGTTTGGGACATTTGTTAGTCTTTGATGTATTTTGCATGTTTTAAAATATTTTGTGTATGTGTGTGCCTGAATATGTGCCTGGAACTGGAGTTATAAGTGGTTATGAGTCACCATGTAGGTGCTAGGAACCAAACATGAGTCCTCTGGTAGAGTAGCCAGTGCATCTAACCACTGAGACGTATCTCCAGCCCAGATTTAATACAATTGTATAATTGCCCATTCATTTACTTCGCCAAAATTAATCTACTCATATTAATTATCCAAGAAGATTTGCTACTCAAACCAGGGAGTAATTACAGTCCTCAGTAACCGGGAGGACCTACAAACTGCAGGCTGCACCCCTACTGGGGATGGTAATCACAGCAAAGGCTGTTTTGCTCCCCTGTACCCTCCTTATTGATCCTATCTCTCTGTGCTCTAGAAGCCTCAAGTCCCTCAAAATCTAAGTCTGACCTTGGGGTTTTGCAGATGTTTGTACCTGAGATCTGACAATGTAGCAGAAGGCAATTGTACTGAAGAACTCCTACAGAACTCCAGTCACGTTGTGGAGGAGTATTTTGTGGCCCCCCCAGGTATGTGTTACCCAGGGTAGTCAACAGTGGTTCAGACATGCTCACTGAAGATAAACACTATCTGAATACAAAAGGATAAACTGTACACAAGTGGTGCCGTAATGACAGTAGCCCAGGAATCATACCCACCTTTCGGGGCCAGTCAGTGAAAACGAAAGCGCAGTGCAGGAAGGACTAAGGGTGTGTGTGCAGCAGACTGCATATCTCCCTGGGCCCTGTCTTCAGGAACAGCTAGCATTCCCTGGTGCTCTGGTGCCAGAGGAACCTGAGCCGATTTGCTTGGAAAACTTTTTGTCTGATAGTTCCTCAACTTGTATTGGTAACCATTTCAAATAAGAAAAATTAACATGTCACATAGGCCAGCTGAAACATACCTATATATAGCTTATGTATCTCAGGCGTGGTTTGTAATCCCTGATGTAGCAACTGCATTTCCAACTTCACTATACACACTTAAAATGGAAGCTTGGGCAGCATGACCTTTTGTCTCCTATGTTGAGTTTTCAGCCTCCACAGCAGACACAAACACCAGGCAGCTAACAAGTAAAGCTCTGGCTAACAAAGCTAACATATTTATGAGTTCGATTTTCCTTTTTTTTTTTTTTTTTTTGAGACAGGGTTTCTCTATATAACAGCTCTTGCTGTCTTGGAACTTGCTTTGTAGACCAGGCTAGTCTTGAACTCACAGAAATCCACCTGCCTCTGCCTACGTGCTGGGATTAAAGGTGTGCACCCCTGCCTGTGGATTAAACTCTTTTTTTTTTTTTTGGTTTTTCGAGACAGGGTTTCTCTGTAGCTTTGGTGCCTGTCCTGGAACTAGCTCTTGTAGACCAGGCTGGCCTCGAATGGATTAAACTCTTAACTGCCATATTTGCCTCAGCTAGCTAAAGAGAAGACTTTTATATACTACTTCATTAGATAGATCTATGATCATATCACACAGATAGAACCTTGCTCCAGACTTGGATTCTAGGCAAAGGTTCATTCTTAGTCTTCCATTTCTACCTAATATATGTGCCTGGTTATATACAGCTTGCCTCTATGCACTGGAAGGTGTGGGTTTGGCTTCACTTTGAACTGTTAGTGATACTTGAGAACTGGGGAAAAGGATGGCATTAATACCTACTTCCACTGTTTCATGAAAACCAAGTGACCATTAGTTTAGGAGGGCCAGCTGAACAGCAGGTTCAACTATAACATTCTTTCTTGTTTTCAAACAGGTAATATTTCTTTGCCAGACATGGTAAACAGGATCCCTTCTCCCACAGCAGAGTAGCTATTCTGGGGAAGGGGAACCCTATCAAGATGGTGGACTCACAGGGTGGTCATTTGCTACAGTGAATACTTGTGTAAACTGGACATTTATGATTTCTTGGTAACTGTTCTGAGGACAGAACTGGAAAATAGCCAGCTAATTGAGCACCACAAGCCTGCGTCCAAGGAAATGGATCAAGTACTCACAGGCCTGTTCCATATGGAAAACATCATCCTTCATTTCCTAAAAAAACACTATCAAAATGTATGTATGTGAATTTTTCTGTTTATACTTAGGAGATAGATTACCTGTGACCACGTGACAAAAGTTATTTTTAGTTGCTTTTCCACTGACTTGAGCAGCCAACCATCTTCATGTGTTCCTCGGTACTTTATTCCTACCAGAAGACTCATTTTATAGAAATGTTTGAGTAGTGTCAAAGTAAACTACAGCCTGGGAACTCCTAATTTAGAACCACCTTCCTTTCTCAGAAAGTGGTGATACCCCTTCCCACACTGTGTCTGTGAACACCTGACCCCCCACCTCACACTGTCTATGAACACCTGACCCCCCACCCCACACTGTCTATGAACACCTGACCCCCCCACCCCACACTGTCTATGAACACCTGACCCCACCTCACACTGTCTATGAACACCTGACCCCCCCACCCCACTGTGTCTATGAACACTTGACCCCCCCACCCCACCCTATGAACACCTGACCCCACCTCACACTGTCTATGAACACCTGACCCCCACCCCACGCTGTGTCTGTGAACACTTGACCCCACCCCATGCTATGAACACCTGACCCCGACCCCACACTGTCTATGAACACCTGACCCCCACCCCACGCTGTCTATGAACACCTGACCCCCACCCCACGCTGTCTATGAACACCTGACCCCCCCCACCCTACGCTGTATCTATGAACACCTGACCCCCCCTCCTTCCCACACACAGTGCCTGTGAACACCAGCCAAACAGTTCCTTTCTGAAAAAAGAACTTGTTAAAAATAGCCTTGGGCTTGTTTTCATTCTTCCTCTTCCCTTTATCTGCAATGTTCTCACACAGAGATACACACACCTTTTGTGTTGTTGTTCAGATAGGGTGGCCTTCATCTGTCTCTCAAGTACAGGGATTAGAGGCATGAACCACCTCAGTGAACCTCTTTTACAGGCAGTTTCACTTACAATGTCAGCTCTGAATTATAAAAACTCTGAATCTGGGTTAGAGATGGCTCAGTGGTTAAGAGAACTTCCTAAACCAGTGTTGTGGTGCATGTCTTTAAATTCAGCACTTGAGAAGCAGAGGCAGATGGATCTCTCTGAGTTTGAGGTCAGCCTGATCTACAGAGTGAGATCCAGAACAGCCAGAGTTACACAAATTAAAAAACAAAAACCGGAGCCCTCCCTAGTCTCCTGTCTGACTGGAGTCAACTCAGGGTGACCCAACAACCTCCTGTGACTCTAGTTCCAGGGGTCTATAATGCCTTTGCGGCCTCAGTGAGCATGAACACACATGTAGTATATACATAAATATCAATCTTAAAAAAATACAGAATCTGCCCTCGGTGTTGAAATTTTGAAACCATCACCACTACCCTAGCAATGTAATGTTTCTGCCCCTGACAAACTGCTGTGATAACGTAGAGGATGCTGCTTTTTGGTCAGAACCTGTTAGGGGAAACCTATGTGCCTACTCAGAGACAACCACACACCAATTACTAAACATTTAAAATATATTTCTCAACAAAATGAGCGACTCAGTCGTCGTAACTGCTGATCTCCAGAGCAGAGCGGCCCACAGAGATGCAGCACTGATTTCTATCCCATAATCAGGGGTGAAAAATATACAACTTGTTCTGAACCAAAGCCACAACTTCTATTTCTGCAGTCTAAACATTTCACTGCTAGTATGGTGGCCCTGGTTGAAATTATGTAGTTCCTTAAAAAAGAAAAAGAAAAGAAAAAAGAAAAAAAGAAATTAGAAAATCTCCTAAGACACTAAATTATCAATCTGGAATGTAGATTCTGAGCACAAAGCAGCTCAGGGCATCTAAAAAGTAGAAAAACTTCCCACCCCCTTCCTCAATAAGGCCTGAAAGGAGAGAAGTAGTGTGGAGAGCCCCTGCTTTGGTACGGAGAATCACGGCCCCTGGACCCAGACCGGGACCTTGAGTAGCCATAGCTGGTACTCCTCTCAGGATAAACTCGGATGTATGAAGTTTCACCCTGAAATTGGAACAAACAGAAAAGGAAAGAGTAAAGTAAGAGTAAGCAAAGCTGATGACCTCTAACCTGGCTCACAGCCCCACGTACTACATGCCTGATACTGTGATGTTACTACACCTGCACAATGTTATTTGGTGGTAAGTACCTTTACTCTTCCATTTCAAAAAGGAAGAAAATCAAGATAAACAAATGCATATTTCTCTGTGCTCTGACCTTGCAGGACTTAGGATTAGCAAACACCCCCTTTAATTTTTAATTTATGTGTATTGGTGTTTTGCTTGCATGTGTCTATATGAGGGTGTCATACAGGATCTTTATGGTACTGTGAAGTCATCAAATGGCAAAGGCCATGACCTGTTGCTACTATTGCTAAATTAGACTTAATAGAGGGTAAGAACCCACCTCGTGAGAGCGGAATTTTGTATCATCCAGTTTACGCAGAGCGTATTCCATGTCTTCTTTTCTCAGATACTCAACCATCCCCATTCCATCTTTTTGTACATCTGCATAACAGACATCCCCAGCTTCACGCATGTGATCTTTCAGGTCCTGCCAGCTGCCTGATGGAGGAAGTCCTAGGTACAGACAATGTAAGAGAAGAGCCACACCCTTTAGCTATGTTAACTGCCATTAGGCACTAGCAATACCTATGATGATCTATACTCTGTGGATCACTTTATTCTTAAGGGTTCCCAAGTCACAAATCCTTTAAAGGGGCACAAAACCAGAAAAATTACTTGAAGTATATATGGTAAAACACTGTGAAAAGTTAGGTTAACTGTCCAGAGACCAAAGTTTCCCAACAAAAGCATCCTATTACAGGCTTACAACCTCTGAAAATTTACCATTCTGTCCTTCACAATCAATGTGACACTCCCAAAACTGAATTCCGGGTTTTTTTTCCCTTATAAAATTTATTAGTACCAAGTATTTCTTGCTGAACTTATTTTCCCAAGACATGGGACGTTTGAAACAAATCAAGTGCAGCTGAGGGAACAGCCATCAACAGAAACCAAAGTTTGTTTTCTATTATCGTGAATGGTTGACAGACCACAAAGTACCTCGTAAGAGATCACCAACATTCCTCACTACAGTTGGGGAAAGGTAACACTCAGACGCTAAAACTAGTTGGGAGTCATACAACCCTACCTGATGTCATGAAAGGGAAATGTGCTCCTGCTCTCAAAGGCTGTGTTTACCGCTCACAGCTCAGGATTGCAGCCATTTCCTAATAGTTTTCTAAGCAGGATTTCAGAGCAGCATGGAGAGAAAAAAAGATAATGTATGACATCTTGAAGGAGGGAATAGAGTCCTAGGGTTAAAAAATGACAAAGGGACACAGATAGACAGATACCATCACTCTATGCACTACCGTGATTGTGGGACATTCACACTTTAAAAGGCAGCAGGCTCAATGCATTTCACTCCACTGGGGCCCCCAAACTCCCCTGCAGTGTGCAGAGGGCCCAGGACCTTAACACTGCGTTGATATTTTAAAGACATAAACTTCTGAGTTTGGCATTTCATCCATCATTCACTGACACCAATACAAATGTTCTGTTTTCCAATACAGTCCCCAAGATTTTAAGTTGTTTGCATCTGGTTCCCGTGATGTCTATAAAGCCAGACACCAAGGAACATTTCCAAAGATAAACATTTATAGATCAAAGGTTTTGTCATCATTTTGCCCCTCACCAGTAAGAAACCACTTTAAAAGAAACATGTTTATCATGCTGTGCACTCGGGAGGCAGAGGCAGGCAGATCTCTGTCAATTCAAGGCCAACCTGGTCTTGTGAGTTCCAGGACAGCCAAGACTACATAGGGACCTTGTCTGAAAACAAAAAAGAAATATGTTTCTGTCCCACAAGGCTGCATTACTTACACAGTTTCATTTGTATGGTACCTGCCTCCCTGAAAAAACCAGAACAAAGCTTTAGACTGTCCGTGTGCACTGATTACTAAAAAGCCAGCATATACCATGTACTGAATAACAGCGAGTTTTTCTTACAAGTAGCATGCATGCACCATTTCATCCACTGTGGTAAGAACATACCTGAAACAAGAACTCGGAAATCAGACCGTCTTGTAGGAGGCCCATTCCTTGCGCCACGGGGCCACCCACCCCGACCTCCAAAAGTCCTGGGGAATTCCACACGAAGTCGACACTGGCCATAATCATAACCATTTCTTCCATAAATTGCATCTTCAGCATCCCTGCAAAGGAAAGCTTTAAGTTAGTGCTGCCCAATAGGCTGAATGACTTCCCAATGAAGGGCACGAGTAATTAAGAGGGGAAATCAGCCTGAAGGAATAGGAGGATAGACCCCAAAACAAAATCTTGATGTACTTGTGCTTTAGTTGAGAACCTTTTCATGTTACTCAGAAACTTTACAGCTGGGCCAGTAAGATGGCTCAGCCATGGCATGCACACATTCTCAAGTGCAAAACACTAAAACTGAAAAAAAAAAAAAAACTATAATAATGAAGGGGTTTGAATATGAACAAAAGATGTGCTAGGTATTTGTGAAGGCATCTTAACAAAACTCATGATTCTGGATGCACAAACTAAAACAGGACTACAGCTGTCAAGGGCATGGAAGCCCAGGCATGGTGGCTTTAATCCCAGCACTCAGGAGGCAGAAGCAGGCAGATCTCTGTGAATTCAAGGCCAGCCTGGTCTACAACATGAGTTCCAGAACAGTCAGGGAAGCCCTGTCTCAAAAGAAAAAGTAATTGTTGATAACTGATTTTGCCAATAAGCCAATTTATCAGAACATGGCAAGCATTTTCCTCTCAAGCAGCAGTGCTCAGCCTGTGGTCAGACCCCTCTGACAAACTTCTATCTCCAAAAATATTTAATTATGATTCTTAACAGTAGCAAAATCACAGTTATGAAGTAGCAACGAAAATAATTTTATGGCTGGAGTCACCACACCATGAGGAACTGTATTAAGGTTTGTAGCGTTAGGAAGGCTGAGAACCACTGCTCTAAAGGCTTATCCTATATTAGGCCCCTTAATATTCTTCTA